TATTTTTAATGAAAATATTCAAAACATAAAATCTATTGTGGTTTTATAAGCAACATTAACTCTACTTTTTTTTTGAAAATATTGTATGTTTTGAATCTCCAAAATCTTAAAACATAAAATCTAATGTTTTGAATATATTGTATGTTTTGAATCTCCAAAATTAGTTTAATAAAAATTTGAAAATTCGCATATACAGTATTGTATATAATTATCCAACATTAATGTTCTATCTTGTAAATAGTCAAATCTTGCATTTAATCTAATTGAATGATATTTATTGTAAGATTTCCTTCTATTTAATGATAACTTTCTTTTTTAGGATTCTCTATATTCTCATCCCTATTACAGTTTACTTTAAACTATTAAGAATACTAGGTAATTATCCGCGCTACGCTGCGTGATATTTTTTTAAATTTTATATATATTTTTAATATAATAAAAAATATTTTTGTAATATAAATATATATATATTTATTTATTTTATTACCTTGAAACTGAATAAACATTGTATATTCTTAATTTTTTTCAAAATTGTAATTTACTATCAAATTTGTTTAACTAAATAACAAAAAATGTATATGTAAAAATAATCTATTTTCTTCTCTAAATTGGCACTCGGTCTTCCTTTATAATTATAAAAAACAAAATGTCACTTTAAAAAGAGATTTATTAATTAATATGATTATTTTGAATTATAAAATTTATTTATTTATCAAATACATATTATAAACATATGTTTCTAAACCTACCAAACTATAATTAATAACATTCATATCAAAATAATTACTATTGCTTTAAAACTATATAAAAAAATGTTTGAACTATTAAAATATCAATTTAGAAAAAGTTAATTAATTTAATTTTGGTTACTGTAAACATATGGTAAATTGAAATTTTACCACCAAAAAGTTTTATTTTTTTAACAAAAATTAAAATATCGCATTTTCCGTTAAAACAAAAAAAAATTATTTTCCTAAGAAAACGGAGAAATTGCTTACTCCCGCCAAAACCAAGAATTTTTATTTTCTCCTCAAACCAAAAATTTCATCTTCCCACCAAACCAAGAAATTGCATTTTCTAGCAAAAACCAAGAAATCACATTTTCCCGCAAGAACCAGTGTTTTCCGCCAAACCCGAGAAATCACGTTCTCTCACCAAAACCAAAATATTTCTTCTTCTTGCAAAAACCAAAATATATTACCAAAAAAATTATTTTCCCACAAAAACCAAGAGATCGCATATTCAAGCCAAAACCAAGAAATTTCTTTTCCTCATCAAACCAAAATTCACATTTTCTCACAAAAACCGAGAAATTATATTTTCCCGTGAAAACCGAAAATTGCATTATCTCACGAAAAATTGCGTTTTCCCGTAAAAACTATGAAATCATATTTTCTCATAAAAATAAAAAATTGCATTATCCGTCAAAAAATGAATATTTGCATTTTCCATAAAAACTGAAAAATTGCTAATTCCCACCAAAACCGAGAAATTTCATTTTCTCTTCAAACCGAGAAATTTCATTTTCCCTTCAAACCGAGAAATTGCATTTTCTGCCAAAATCGTCAAATTGTATTTTTTCGCGAAAACTATAAAATCATATTTCCCCACAAAAACCAAGAAATTGTATTATTTGTCAACTTATACATACTGTTTGTGAGCTTCTTATAACAGACGGTTTGTTTGCTTTATTGTCATGGAAACATAGTTTATGCTTGGCTTACATTTTTTCAATTATACATGTCTTTGTCAAGCAAACATGTAGCTAGACATTATAATTTTTTAATTTTTTCTATTATTTATTGTTTGGGTTTGGCAAAAAATAAAATAATTTTTTGTTAATATTTATTATTTGTGTTTGAGCTTGGAAAGACATAAAAAAAAAAAAATCGGTTATTGATTATTTGGGCTTGGGTTTGGTCAAAAAATAAAACTAAAATTAACAATAGAAAATATTTAGGTTTTTAATGGGTTTAAGATTAAAAATTAAAAGAAATAGATGTGTTGTATTAATAAAAAGTTTTGATTGGTAAATTTTTTTGCTGAAGTGTCATCTTCAGAAAGCTCCAAAATGCTGAGGTGTCATCACCAGTTGAGACACTTGTGTTTTTGTTGTATTGTTGAATTATAAAATTTATTTATTTATCAAATATATATTATAAACATATGTTTCTAAACCTACCAAACTATAATTAATAACATTCATATCAAAATAATTACTATTGCTTTAAAACTATATAAAAAATATGTTTGAACTATTGAAATATCAATTTAGCAAAAGTTAATTAATTTAATTTTGGTTACTGTAAACATATGGTAAATTGAAATTTTACCACCAAAATTTTTTATTTTCTTACAAAAACTGAAATATCGCATTTTCCGTTAAAACAAAAAAAATCATTTTCCTAAGGTAACGGAGAAATTTCTTACTCCCGTCAAAACCAAGAAATTTTATTTTCTCCTCAAACCAAAAATTTCATCTTCCCACCAAACCAAGAAATTGCATTTTCCAGTAAAAACCAAGAAATCACATTTTCCCGCGAGAACCAGTGTTTTCTGCAAAATCCGAGAAATCATGTTCTCTCACCAAAACCAAAATATTTCTTCTTCTTGCAAAAACCAAAATATATTACCAAAAAAATTATTTTCCCACAAAAACCAAGAGATCGCATATTCAAGCCAAAACCAAGAAATTTCGTTTCCTCATCAAACCAAAATTCACATTTTCCCACAAAAACCGAGAAATTATATTTTCCCGTGAAAACCAAAAATTGCATTATATCACGAGAAATCGCGTTTTTTCGCGAAAACTATGAAATCATATTTTCCCACAAAAAAAAAAAAATTGCATTATCCGTCAAAAAATGAATATTTGCATTTTCCATAAAAACTGAAAAATTGCTAATTCCCACCAAAACCGAGAAATTTCATTTTCTCTTCAAACCGAAAAATTTCATTTTCCCTTCAAACCGAGAAATTGTATTTTCTGCCAAAATCGTCAAATTGTATTTTTTCGCGAAAACTATAAAATCATATTTCCCCACAAAAACCAAGAAATTGTATTATTTGTCAACTTATACATACTGTTTGTGAGCTTCTTATAACAGACGGTTTGTTTGCTTTATTGTCATGGAAACATAGTTTATGCTTGGCTTACATTTTTTCAATTATACATGTCTTTGTCAAGCAAACATGTAGCTAGACATTATAGTTTTTTAATTTTTCCTATTATTTATTGTTTGGGTTTGGCAAAAAATAAAATAATTTTTTGTTAATATTTATTATTTGTGTTTGGGCTTGGAAAGACATAAAAAAAAATTTCTGTTATTGATTATTTGGGCTTGGGTTTGGTCAAAAAATAAAACTAAAATTAACAATAGAAAATATTTAGGTTTTTAATGGGTTTAAGATTAAAAATTAAAAGAAATAGATGTGTTGTATTAATAAAATGTTTTGATTGGTAAATTTTTTTGCTGAAGTGTCATCTTCAGAAAGCTCCAAAATGCTGAGGTGTCATCACTAGGAGAGACACTTGTGTTTTTATTGTATTGTTGAATTATAAAATTTATTTATTTATCAAATATATATTATAAACATATGTTTCTAAACCTACCAAACTATAATTAATAACATTTATATCAAAATAATTACTATTGCTTTAAAACTATATAAAAAATATGTTTGAACTATTGAAATATCAATTTAGCAAAAGTTAATTAATTTAATTTTGGTTACTGTAAACATATGGTAAATTGAAATTTTACCACCAAAAATTTTTATTTTCTTACAAAAACTGAAATATCGCATTTTCCGTTAAAACAAAAAAAATCATTTTCCTAAGGTAACTGAGAAATTTCTTACTCCCGCCAAAACCAAGAAATTTTATTTTCTCCTCAAACCAAAAATTTCATCTTCCCACCAAACCAAGAAATTGCATTTTCCAGTAAAAACCAAGAAATCACATTTTCCCGCGAGAACCAGTGTTTTCTGCTAAATCCGAGAAATCATGTTCTCTCACCAAAACCAAAATATTTCTTCTTCTTGCAAAAACCAAAATATATTACCAAAAAAATTATTTTCCCACAAAAACCAAGAGATCGCATATTCAAGCCAAAACCAAGAAATTTCGTTTCCTCATCAAACCAAAATTCACATTTTCCCACAAAAATCGAGAAATTACATTTTCCCGTGGAAACCAAAAATTGCATTATCTCACGAGAAATCGCGTTTTTTCGCGAAAACTATGAAATCATATTTTCCCACAAAAAATAAAAAATTGCATTATCCGTCAAAAATGAATATTTGCATTTTCCATAAAAACTGAAAAATTGCTAATTCCCACCAAAACCGAGAAATTTTATTTTCTCTTCAAACCGAGAAATTGCATTTTCTGCCAAAATCGTTAAATTGTATTTTTTCGCGAAAACTATAAAATCATATTTCTCCACGAAAACCAAGAAATTGTATTATTTGTCAACTTAAAACATACTGTTTGTGAGCTTCTTATAACAGACGGTTTGTTTGCTTTATTGTCATGGAAACATAGTTTATGCTTGGCTTACATTTTTTCAATTAGACATGTCTTTGTCAAGCAAACATGTAGCTAGACATTATAATTTTTTAATTTTTCCTATTATTTATTGTTTAGGTTTGGCAAAAAATAAAATAATTTTTTGTTATTATTTATTATTTGTGTTTGGGTTTGGCAAAAAATAAAACAAATTTTTTTCTGTTATTGATTATTTGGGCTTGGGTTTGGTCAAAAAATAAAACTAAAATTAACAATAAAAAATATTTAGGTTTTTAATGGGTTTAAGATTAAAAATTAAAATAAATAGATGAGTTGTATTAATAAAATGTTTTGATTGGTAAATTTTTTTGTTGAAGTGTCATCTTCAGAAAGCTCCAAAATGCTGAGGTGTCATCACTAGGAGAGACACTTGTGTTTTTGTTGTATTGATGTATTGTATTACTAAAATGGTTACGAAAATTTTTTTTTGCAAGAGTCCTCCTATAAATAAAACATTATAGACATTTTTTTCACAAGAAAATTAATAGTAAGAAAGAGAATAATTAAGATGACAAAAGCTTTTATGATTTTTGTTCTTGTGGTGGTACTAGCAACATCGTTGTCCAACTCCAACGTTTTGGCCTCATCGGGTATGTTGTTATTATTCATCAATTTTTGATCGTTTTAGTAAAACCGATTTATGTGTATATATGTGCATATATGATATATGTTTCTCTGTATTTAACTTCGTTGTACCTATGCAGTGAACAATCGATTTGGATATGATTATTGCATAAAACCATGTTCAACATATTTTTCAAATGAATTTTGCTATAAAGTGTGTACACAAGATGGATATTATTCAGATGGAGGATGTATAGGTTTCATACAAGATCAACAATGTTGTTGCAAAAAATGTTAGAAATCGATTATCTATTTAGTAATTTAGCGGTTGAATATTAACTTGTTTGTTTTTGATGAAATAAAACTTATCTTACTATATTATCGCTTTTATATTAGAATTCACATATACACAGATTTATAATAATAAATTTCAAAATCTGTTATAATAGCTTTTAAAAATTGGAAAAAAAATAGAACACTACTAAAAAAAATTCAAACACAAAATTAAAACCTAAGAGTTTCATTTATTTTGAATCAAAATATTCAAAACATAAAATTTGCTGCGTCTTAGAGAATTTTTGAAGTTTTGGGTGTATTTTTGGGCCTCAAAGATTTCATATTTACATTCATACATACACAAATGAAAGACAGGCAGAGAAAATAAGTAAAGATTAGATTTTGTTGCTTAGGTATCTAAAGACTATAACGCTACTGTGTCACTCTTCAAGCGAAGGTGAGTGAGAGAATTAATGTTTGGAATCGCATCAAGCTCAGTATCGATGAATAACAAAGTCTGGACTTTCCCATGCGTCTCCTCTTGCAAGTTATAAGAATCTCTTCATATCTACATTAGTGAAGTTAGAGCATCACCAACGGTAGAAGCTATTCTCATCGTCTCTTCCTTATATAATATTAATATAATTTATTTATTTAATTAAAATTAAAATGATATAAAAAATGAACTAATTATTAATTGACACTTGGACAGAATCTCGACAACCCGTCTTTTAAACCTCTTCAATTAGAACCCTTTCTGATTTCTCTCTCTTCCTTTTCTTTTTTTTTATAATTTTTTATTCTTTGAAACCTCATTTAGAAGCTCCCGTTGGAGCTGGTCTTACACTCTGAAATGGGTAGTACGTTATTGTAAGAAAGCTTTTTGATGCTCATTGTGTTTTTTTACCAATAATTGGCCATCAGCAATCACCAATCACCAATTTTCAATTGCTGTAATGTATCTATGATTTGTGGGATTAGGATTCCGCAAGTAAGATTTGGGGATTTGGACTTGCATAAAATACATTGCTGAAATGTATATATTGTATCATTTGATATTTTGACCGTAATTCAAAATGTCAAAAAAAAAAAAAAAATTCAAAATGTCTACGCGAAAGCAATAATTGGTCTGGCAATGCCGCAATACTACAAGTAGCATTACATTCTCAATAACCAAACTACTTCTAAATATGCATACAGATCCAAAGCAGGCTATAGATAAAAAGCAGCTTTTAAATATTCCCTTTCCTTGAAGTTATTTAATTATAATCATATAATTAAACAATAGTTTTTTTAACACTTTCCTAAACTATTACATTATCAAGAGATTAAGTGGACGATTTCACGATGACAAGTCTCCCCCGTAACACACGAATCCATGACAGATAGTTATACTTTCACCACACCACGATGGACAGCTTCACTCTTCACTTACGAGACCGGACGGCTTTACCTGCAGCACGCTGAAACCTCCAATAAGTCTTGCATCAACAATCTGCAAGAAAGTGCACTTCCTGGGTATCAAACCCCAGACTTAGTATAGAAGCTTTTAACCCTTGACCACTAGGCCACGGTGCTTCCACAAATTAAACAAAGTTTAATACTAAGAAAATGTCATTGCTTTTTTTGTTTTCTTTTAGATGTAATCGTGTTGACGATTCACTATGTTGTAGCTACCATTAAATAACTTAACCAACAATTCCATAATGCCTATAGATTTTTTGATGAACATTAAGAATTTGAACCGAAAAAAATTCTATTAATTAATAAAGTATTATTCAATTATTAATTTCTAGATTTATGAATACTCTATAAATTAATAAAATTTGGGAGTTCCAACATTATTAATTTATAATAATTCTACTGTATAATATAATGTATTTATGTTATAATTTTATAATTTATTTAATTATAATTTAGCCAATCAAAATATTTCGTTTATTTAAAAAAATTTGTCATGTTATATTTCCAGATCATCATTAAAATACACTAACTTTTACTATGGTTTTGACACATTAATTTTTTTCATTAAACATGTTTGTGAAATAATAATTAAGATCTTTGACCATAATTCTATGATCTAGCCCAAAATCATACACATGCAAATATACACACATACATATATGCTAATTTTGACCCCAAAATTAACATATATTGTATATAATTATTCAACATTAATGTTCTATCTTGTATATAGTCAAATCTTGCATTTAATCTAACTGAATGATATTTATTGTAAAATTTCCTTCTGTTTATAATAAGATTTCCTTCTATTTAATGAAATTTTTATTTCTTAGAATTCTCTATTTTTCTCATCCCTTTTACAGTTTACTTTAAACCATTAAGAATATTTCTTGTATTACTAAATTGGTTACGAAAAAAAGTTCTGCAAGAGTCCTATAAATAAAGCATTATAGACATCTTTTTTTTTCACAACAAAATTAATAGTAAGAAGAATAATAAAGATGACAAAAGCTTTTATGATTTTTGTTCTTGTACTGGTACTAGCAACATCGTTGTCCAACTCCAACGTTTTGGCCTCATCGGGTATGTTGTTATTATTCATCATTTTCTGATCATTTTAGTAAAACCTATTTATAGGTATACTAGTATTATGCCCGCACTTCGTGCAGGCTAAAATGAGTATTTATATTTGAAAAACAATTACATAATTCAAATATGAAACTCAGTTAAAAATATGTTTAGGATTTTTATAAATTGATTATTATATATTTTACCACAGCATTAAATTTGTTTTTAAGTCAAGTTTGCGTTAGATTTTAGCACATCACTATTAATATCTACATTCACATTTAGAACCAGAAGATTTTTATATATATATATATATAAATATATGCAATTCCAACAATATATAGTTTATCGATATGTTATTTTTATTCATATATAACTGTTTATTGTATATGCAAATACTATTACTGTCTATTTTATTTTATTGTTCTAAACAGTATAGATCTAAAGTCATAAGTTCCTAACAACATACTACATATTATCGAATAAAACTGTGTTCATCTGTATTTTAGATTTACAAAACAATTAAAATATAAAAGAAGCCTTCATCATTTCTCTTCTTCTTCCTCGCCTACATCCTCGTCTTACACTTTTTATTGTTTACAACTTTTTTCTATTTCTTTGTTTGTAAAAGAAACAAACCAATCTGAACCTGAAGTTATATTTCAATCGTACTTTTTATTAATTAAAAGTAGATTTTATTTTTACAAAATACAAATAACATTAACCTGAATTTCTTATTTATTAGAACTGAATTTTCTAGTTCTAGTTTCAAAATTGAATGCTCACCCTTAGGGAAAAGGAAGATTGGGGAAAAAATAAGTTACATGGATAATATACGGCGAGAGAACACAAACTGAAGCACAACCAACCACATGCGAGTCATCTCCTCTCGGTCATACTCATTATTCATCTTTATATCAGCCAAATCCTCAAAGTTTCCTTGCAGATGCTCGGTTAATAAAAGGTGGTGCCTGTTTTACATTATTAAAACAGAGCATTTGCTTTATTCAACCGTCAGATTGTTAAAAAAATAATGGAAAGTTATTTGAACAAAAAAAAAAAAAAAATCATGGAAAGTTAGATTATTTGAAGTCGCAGTAAATACATACTCAGTCAAGCTATCATCTACATAGGCATTGTTTTCACAACGTCCGGCTATTAGCTCCAAAAGTACAACACCGAATAAGCAAACGTCAAATTTCTTTGTGAACTTTCATTGGAGACTTCTCTGTAAATACCTAAAGCATAAAGCCAAAGTCTTAGAAAAACCAGACACATTGTCATATGAATCTAAATACGAATACATACTTTTTCAAACATACTTGTCGACTCTACTATTCGCCATGAGAAGTTAACTTCAATGTTCTCTTTACCCGAAGTCCCTATCACTCTTGTAGATTGATGAGTCTTTATATATCCAGTTTTAATCAGTTATAAGCAGGTTTATAAATTTTTCCGTAACAGTTATGTGAAAGAGATGGAGATCGTGGATTGAAAGCAAGAAAATCTCAACCATCAATCTTTTATTATTTAATTTTTTATTATCACACTTTTTTTAATTGAAGATTGATATCATATAACCTAAAAAATAGCCACGATAAAGGAAAGAGAAAGAAATATTTTAGACAGATATTTTGTAAAAACTGATTAACATTTCAAATTAAAAAAAAAAATGTAAAATGACACGTGTCAGATGGACAATTGCCAACTGACTTGTGCTTTATAAGTATAAAGATATGTGCATATATGATATATGTTTCTTTGTATTTAACTTCGTTGTATTTATGCAGTGAACAATCGGTTTGGATTTGATATTTGCATAAAGCCATGTTCAATATATTTTCAAGATCCATTTTGCCATAAAGTGTGTACACAAGATAAATATTATTCAGATGGAGGATGTATAGGTTTCATACAAGATCAACAATGTTGTTGCAAAAAATGATAGAAATCGATTATTTATTAGGTAACTTAGCGGTTGAACATTAACTTGTTTGCTTTTGATGAAATAAAACTTATCTTACTATATTATCGCTTTTATATTAGAATTCACATATACACAGATTTATAAAATTTGCTGCGAATCCTTAGCAAAAATAACTCTATTTTTTTTTGTTCACACACTTTGTCAATTATATGTATATATAAGTTATAATTTGAAAAAAAAACAAAATCGCTTACGTATTCAACTTTATATAATAAAAAAAGCAAAGATTTCACCGTGTAAATAATAACATTAGCCTTATACATCATCATGGTTTACAAAACAAAAACTCTTACTGATTTGGACAAGTCTTCTTTATATAAAGTTGAGCTGAGAGAGATCAGAGAGACAGAGAGAACGGAGAGAGTAAGCTTCTACCCGATTATAGAAATGATTCTCTTCCAAAAGATCAATCTTCGTAAACTCTTTGCCTCAAAGAAATCCCATAAAATATCTCCAGCCACCGTCTCAAAATCAGCGGAGAAAAGACTCTGCAACGAAACTCTAGAAAAAGATCACATCCTCATGGCGCATGTTAGCTCACGGTTAGTTTCGCCGGTAAATTTTTCCCGGTGGGAAGCCACCATCATCGGCCCGGCAAGTTGCCCTTTCGAAAACGGAGTCTTCGCCGTTGCCATTCTCATCCCCACGGAATTTCCTTTTGAACCACCCAAAATCAACTTCAAGACCAAGGTAACCATTAACCAATATCAGAAAACCGGTTTACTTAATCTTTCGTTAATGTTTTTTTTAATAAGAACCACTCTCGGTAACGTTTTAGTTTCCGGTCTAATTTTTTTCCTTCTTTTTTTTTTTTAAATCTTGGTCCAGATATTTCATCCAAATATAAACGAGAATGGAGAAATCAGTGTTGATATTTTGGGACCACGATGGTCACCGGCGTTGACAATCAATTTGGTATTACTGTCTATATGTTCGGTTTTGTCTGACCCGGTTGAACCATTTTTGGTTGGTAATCCTGCCGTTAGACTGTACATGGAAGACCGGAAAGCTTACGAGAAAGTTGCGAGAGACTGGACCGTGAAATATGCAAAGGGCTGATTAATTGTTCTTACGTCGATCTATAGTGTATAGTCTATTGTTGAAGACTATGACTTCTTTATTTTCATATTTACGTCGAGTTATGTGGTTCGTGTTTGCATAGCGTGCTCTTCTTGCATGCATCCTGAGCTTTTCTTGCATAAATTACGATACTTTGGATCACAAGCCTAAGCTTGATTAGTAATATATCTTATTACTTTTGCTTCGGTCTTAGATGAAAATGTTATTTATTTTATTTTTAAGTTAATTTACACACGTTAAGAAAATGAAAGACATACAAATTAATGATAACTTATTCTGGAACTTTAACTTAACCGATGAACACCATAAATTTATTTTTAAAAATATGGATATATAAACATATCGCACTTCGGATCAAACTCATATCTTTGATCTAGGGACTGGCCACAGGCTGACTGGCCACAGGCTGACTGGCCATTTCTTTCACACAAGTTTTAAGATACTTTCGATTACATCCCCATGCATGATCATCATCCATAGTTGCATAGCTAATCACACCTTCTGCATTGTCTTCTGCATTGGTCGTCTTGATTGTTGCAAAGAACACCATTATAAGAGCCATATATAAAATAACAGTCTTAGTTGATCTCTTAGACATACCTATATCTTTTTTTTACTGGGTTGAAAAAGAAAAGAAAACTCAAATTACACTATATAAAGATTGGATTATTGTGTGAGAAACACATAAAGGAATTATCGAAGCTTTATAGGAGATGGGACACAAGATTGTTATGTTTCTTTCTTTTTTTGACATAGAGATTTGGTGTATCGTTCGAAAATATTAATATTCGTTATCTTACTATTTTTTTTTGTTAAATTGGCTAGGAATTAGTTTCATGTCTTAAGAAGTATCGGAAGCTTGTAAAGATTTTGTTATGATTGCAACAAATTATTTGAAGGACAGTTGAAGAAAACTGAATCCTTTAACAAATAATAAAACGACATAACTATACCTTTTTTATTGGTAAAAAATTAATAAGCTGTCAATTACAGTCAGATTATGTTATGTTTGGTTTTCTTAACACATAAATAATCAAGAAGCTGTCAATCACAGGCGAATATAAGATCAGTTTCGGTGTAATTCACCAGCTTGTGGTGAAGGCTGATAACAACATAATTGGTGGCGCAAACAAAAACAACGAGACGATTATATGGGAAAAGCCATGACTTAAATTTATGAATGTCACTTTCTTTAACCTGTAACTAATTATGGTTGCTTCATATGGTGAGTTAATCTTTTTTAAAAGAAAATGTTAATTTCTGTAGTATTTGGCTTTCAAAATTCCATGTATGACCATATATATATGAAAAAGTGATATTGAAAATCTGCTAATTATATCGGAAAAGATATTTTAATCTGCTATATAAATTATATAAGTCACGAACATTAAATAAATATTTCTTCCATTTCAAATTATAATATATTTTAGTGAAATTCGAAATGATAATAAAAAATTGAAAATAAATATTATTTCTATTATTAAAAACATTTCGAATGATTATCAGTGTCTAGTTTACTCTACACCTTATTTGGTGTGGCCTCCTAAATAGTTTACATAAAATTTCATATTCCTATATTTTAAATAAAAAGTTATAAGTATAAATATAATAAATAAATAAAACATTATTTTTTTTTGTTTTTTACGTATCACGTAAACTACGATATCTATCATATTTCAACATATAGCTTATACAGTGTGTGTTAAGACCGTCAATATATATCATTCGAATTCAAATCCTTATAACGCATTTTTCGATTGTATAATACATCTTATTAATAGATAAATATAAAAATACAATTGTGTACATATATTTGATATATATAGACTGATTGATCGATTTCATTCATAGTACTGTTTTACAGAAATGTAATTATTAAATTGCAATATATCTTGGAATGATAAAATATGAATAAATTAAAACATAAAGAGTTATATATAATATCAGAAGAAAAAGTCTGAATCTATATAAAATGGAGAAAATAATACATTTCCCGGCCCATCGTCCTCCGTCGTCTCTCGTTGATTTCTTTCTTGATGAAGTCTTCATATATCAATTCATATGTACTCTAGACTATTTTTTTCATTAATCTCTAAGATTTTGAACTTTCGTATATGGATTTGCCTCAGTTTTGTTACAAAACTGAGGATGTTTTGGAGAACATCCCCATGCATGATTCACACGCAAAGTATCATATTTTATAATATCGGTATCATTCACACGCGAATCATCTTGTATAATATCGGTATCATTCACACGCGAATCATCTTTTATAATATCAGTATGATTCATACGCGAATCATCTTTTATAATATCTGTAGTATTCACACGCGAATCATCTTTTACAATATCCTCCATTTCGATCGTAATCGCCCTAGAAACAAGAGTAATTGCCAGAACGAGATATAAAAGCGATATCGCCTTCGACGTCGCCATGTTTGCCTAAGACGAAGTGAACTTACAGGGTTTCCTTTTAGTTCTTTTTATTTATAATTATTAATAACTTTTTATAGATGTCGATACTGTCGTTGCATGGTGCTTTATATAAATATTGTTGATTAGGTTTGCTAAATAAAGTTAATCGTTTTGGAGGGTTCCTTAGTTACGCAATTCCAACAACAATTTAGTTTTACAATTGTAATTATTGTTATTAGCCTTAAAAGAAAACAGACTGTTATTAGTTCAAATTTGTCTCGGTTAAGATTACTTAATTAGATACACTATGGAGGTTTGTTTGTGAAAATAGCTGGAGGTGTATTTGGTTAAACAGCTCGATGGTAAAATCGTTAATAGAAGGTATGATATAACATAAAATTATAAAAAGTTTGCTCGTATTTAGATTAATACTAGCATATACTGATTTAAAACGACAAATATATAATTTCATTGTTATTTTAGAAGAAAACTACAATTACCCCCCCCCCCCCCTAGATAAGGTTAGATCCTAACCTTTGGACATCGTTTCGTTTTCCCATCCTTCTCACACAACTTTCAAAGAGCATCTGTTGCGATTAAGCCATTAAGGTTTAGTTGAGTAGTAGTAATATTTAGTTTTTTTTTGATTTTTCATAGATAAAAAACCTCAATCTCAGTTGTTTAGAACTCCTGGAAGGTTTTGATGCTTTAAAGTTTGGATCTTTGTTGGCCAGTTTTTATATTCCGAAGCAATTTTTGTAATGGGTGTTTCTTATGAAAAATTTCTGGAATTTAAATGTGTTTTCGTTCTAATGATAGTCCCTAGTTTTATCTCTGTGTTGTCCAGTGCTTCATTGTTTATCTGCTAAGCCGTATTTGATTATTCGAATGAAGCTAACATCTTTCTGTATAAATTGTCTTAACGAAGGTAACTAAGGGAATCTGAGCAAGGCGAGGAGAGAGCTGAGGAGGCTGTTGTGGCGATGATGGAACAAAGATCTTGTGTCCATTTTGATAAAAGCTTTAACTTGGATAAGCTGTTGAAAAAGATTCAATCTTGTAAACGAATCAAGTGTGGAGACTGCAAGGAAGGAGTGCGTGTGAAGAGAAGAAGTGAAGGGAAGGTTAACAATAACTGGAGGAGAAATAGGTTTTCTTCTTCTGGCCCAAAGTCTGCTAAAAAGGCTATTTGGCTTTGTTTGGAATGTGGCTATTACATCTGTGGAGGTGTTGGTTTGCCAACTGGAGCTCAGAGTCATGTCGCGCGTCACATCAGGTTGACGCGTCACCGTCTGGTGATTCAGTGTGAAAATCCTCAGCTGAGATGGTGCTTCCCTTGCCAATCACTTCTCCCTTTTGAGAAAGAAGAGAATGGTGAGAGGAAAGATTTGTTACTTAAAGTTGTGAAATTGATTAAACAGCGATCTTCAAACACCTACTCTGCTGAAGATTCATCATGTTCAAGAAGTGGTAGCGTCATCACTGGTGCAAGAGATGGTTATGCTGTAAGAGGTTTAGTTAACCTTGGGAACACATGTTTCTTTAACTCTGTATTGCAGAACCTACTTTCTTTGGATCAGTTAGGTGACCGCTTGCTGGAAGAGGATCTGTCTGGTGGTGGTCCTCTCGTTTCTTCCCTGAAAAGATTATTCGCCGAGACAAAGTCAGAGGCAGGCTTGTTCAACAGTGTTATAAATCCAAGAGAGCTTTTCGATTCTGTATGTTCTAAGGCTCCTCAGTTCAGGGGATATCAGCAGCAAGACAGTCACGAGCTGCTGAGGTGTTTGTTGGATGATTTGAGCAACGAAGAATCGAGCCTGAGAAACAAGCTTGGTGTTTCTGATATTGATGACACTTCTTCACATCAGAAACCTACTCTCATAGATTCTGTATTTGGAGGTGAAATCTCGAGCACGGTTTCTTGTTTGGAATGTGGGCATTCCTCAAAAGTGTATGAACCCTTTTTGGATCTCTCTCTACCTGTTCCCTCCAAGAAATTCCCTCCTAATAAGCAACAAAACCTTTCTGAGGAAAAGAATGGTGAACTTCCACCAAAAAAGGTCCATAAGAATTCAGAAATGGTGTCTGTTATAGCCCTTGACAATAAGCAGGTCCCTGAAATTGCAACACAAACTAATACCGATTTTGATAGTTTTTGGTTGGATATTATTGGACCAGAAACCTCTCACAGTAACACCGATTTGGTTTGGCAAGGTAATATTTGCGACAAAGAAGATGCACGAGCTATGCAGTCTAATAAAGAGACATCTGCGAGTGGGATTTTCACAGAGATTGATGAGGCTCAAGTTTGCGGTTCTTATGACTCATGGCTGAATTCTCCATCTGCAAATCCGTGGGGTGATGAAGAGCTTCCCTTGGTGGTGTCAGATTCTCAAGTTCTGTGTATGCCTTATAAAGATGACATAAACTATGATGATAAAACAGTTGCAGAAGTTAAGGGTGCGGCTTCCTCGTCACATGTGAGCGGCCACCATGAATAAACCACAGATTATGTTGACAACAGCGGTTTTTTTGACGAGCCTGACGTCTCCGATAATGGTAATACAGTTATGAAACGTGAGTGTGAGGCTTCCTCGTCATTCGTAAGTGGTGACCACCATGAACAGAACGTAGTAGATTATGTTGACTTTAGCGGGTTTTTTGACGAGCCTGAGATATCTGCAGAAACTGTTTTGGAACCGCCATCTAAAGCTAAATGTGAAGCTCCCTCGTCATTCATAAGCGGTGACCATGAACAGAACGTAGTAGATTGTGCTGACTTAATCGAATTTTTTGACGAGCCTGAGATATCTGAAGGATCTGTTTTTGGACCACCATGTAAAGCTGAATGTGAAGCTTCCTCGTCATTCGTGAGCGGCCATTATGAACAAAACGTAGAAGATTATGGTGACTTTAGCTGGTGTTTTGATAAGCCTGAGATATCTGAAAAACCTGTTTTTGGACCACCATCTAAAGCTAAATGCGAAGATTATGGTGACTTTAGCTGGTGTTTTGATGAGCCTGAGATGTCTGAAAATCCTGTTTTTGGACCACCATCTAAAGCTAAATGCGAAGATTATGGTGACTTTAGCTGGTGTTTGATGAGCCTGAGATATTTGAAGGACCTGTTTTTGGACCACCATCTAAAGCTGAAGATGGTTTTAAAGCAGTCAGCAGCAACTCTGATCCTGAAGTTGTTGATGATTCGGGTTCACCAGTGTCTGTAGATAGCTGTTTGGATCAGTTCACCAAGGCTGAGGTTTTGTCGGAAGACAATGCTTGGCATTGTGAGAATTGTTCCAAGAACCTAAAACTCCAGCGGATGAGAGAAAAGGGAAAAACTAAAGAAGGATTGAAAAACGGATGGGTGACTGAAAATGGAGCCAGTTTTGCTTCTGATGAGTGTGGAGATAATTCATCAAACTCATCAAGTATAGATCTTGAAAACAGGTATAAAGCCGCTCCAATCACAGAATCACCAAACTGCAAGGACGAGGAAAAGGTCATACGTGATGGAATGATTATAGACTCAGACACGAAGCAATCTCCAATAGCTTCTTCTGCTACTGAAACTCCTATCCTTGGTGGAGAAACCATCACTTCTCAACCAGACAATGGCAATGAATCTGAGAAAAGGGAAGACGAGGCAGTAGATTCCGAGGAAGTGATAGTGAAAAGAGATGCAACTAAAAGGGTACTTGTAAACAAGGCGCCACCTGTCTTAACCATTCATCTCAAAAGGTTCAGCCAAGATGCTCGAGGCAGGCTAAGCAAGTTAAGTGGCCATGTTGATTTCAAAGAGTTCATCGATCTTGGACAATATATGGACTACTCTAGGTAAAAATTTCCCCATTCTCTCTATAGACTTTGTGTAAGCAGAACCTCTTCCTTATTTCTTTCTTTCACTCTCTCTCTCTTCTTTAGGTGGACTGAAGAAGACCAGCCGGTTTACAGGTTAACCGGATTAGTGGAGCATTCCGGGACAATGGGAAGAGGTCATTATGTTGCGTACATCAGAGGAGGCGACAAGGAGTGGAGAAACTCTGATATTCAAGAACACAACTCATCCACATGGTATCGTGCAAGCGATACTTATGTTCGACGGGTTTCTTTTGAAGAAGTTCTCCGTTCTGAGGCGTATATTTTGTTCTACCAACGGATCTAAGAACAAGAAACAGAGCAGAGAAAAAACGGAGAAAGAGGGGATTGTGTTTTTCTTTTTTCTTTTTGACAAATGACAACCATAATTTATATCACCAAGATTCTTTAGTTGAGTTGGTTAAAACTTAAAATTATAAAATTTGCTGTAGTGAGTATTTTAGCTTGCAGCTATAGATTTATTTGTTTTATTTAGATTACAATACAAAAAGTCGTTAGTTGGTCAATTTTTGGCTTAAATGCATGAGTTACTTATTTTATTTCTAATGAGCGTTTTCCACAAAATAAACTCAAAAACTAAAGAGTTTTAATCCACCAATTTAGCTTAAAAAAATCATCTTTTTTACACAAAATATAGAAAAGAGCAAAAGAAGTCGATAGTTAATGCCAAATATAGACATTATACTCAACTACAATATCTCCACAAGTAGTATTTAACAAAAAAGTCGTGGCTTGAGCATAGCCTCTTCCGAACCTGAAAGCTCCCGTGCTACCGATGATCGGCATCTCTCTCACCTTCGAAAACACCGGATTCCGGCCATACATTGCGACGGTGCTGCCTGAAAACTCACCTTTTGTGAACACAAAGTTTAAAGCCATAAGCAGACCAACAGTGTTCTGGTCGGCGATGAGTATATCCCTTGGGCTCTCCCAACTTCCTCTGAGGTTATTTCCGACCCAACCGTTAACCGGTTGTCAGCGACTACAACCGTACCGAAGGCAGTTGCAGAGGAGTTTGTGTTGGGACCTGTAGCCACTGTGGCGGTGGTTGGTTTGTCTCCGTAGACAAAGTCGTGGAAGTAGAAGTGGAGGTGGGTTAGCTTCTCCGGCCTATTTTCTGCATATGGTGCCTTCACTGTTTTTGAGAAAGCTTCTGATTTTGTGACGGTGGCTGCGAGAAGAAGAGCTGAGAACAGAGGAAGAAAAAGAAGCCTAGCCATTGCGAATATATATGGTCGTTGTTTTTTCAGGCTATGTGTGAAATGTGATGAGGTTAAGTGTAAGTTCTTGCATGATTTATACACAAAACAGAGTAATTATTTGAAAGCAAAATTTTTATTTGAATAAAAGATTTGCTTGACACGTGCTAACAAGCAAATTCTCTATTGACGTGGATCAAAATCTTGGAATTATTCGTTAAATGCTTATACTAATTAAGTAGAAAACTATTGAAAAGAATCAAGACAGAGATATAACTATTTTTTTCTTCCGGCTAATACGAAACTTATAACTACTTGGTTTAGTTATAAACCGGGCAGATGTAAGGCTGACGTACAATATATATTATGTCTGCCGCGAGATAGTACAGGTTTTGATTCCGGTTCCAGCTCCACAATGCATGCGTTTCATTCTTCACCTAAAAAATGCCAAATGTAGAGAACATAATTCAGTTTTCGCAATTTACTACAATAATCATCTGGTTTATATTGGTACACTGGAACCGGTTCTGAGTAGGTCCATGGTTTTCATGTCAGTCAACAGATTGCATGCTTATGGCACCAAGGAACTAATCTCAGCAGGTAACTTGAACACCAAGCGATAGAGATTAGAGAAAAGACTTACTTCTAACATACCGAAACCGAAGCTGCTCTCTCTGTACGCGCTATACTCTGGCTGATTCACCGGACAGAACTCATCGTTTACAGGTCCTAACGTGGAGTTAAAGCCGCATGATCCAAATGGATTTCTCTGAGAATGGTCTGGACAGTTTCCTGGGTCATCCACATGCTCAGTTTCCAGTTTCCCAGCTCCTCCTGCACCGGTTGTTATATAAACCGGACCACATTGGTCCAACGTGTAGTTGTAGACTCTGTTTGATCTCTCATAGGCATCAACCTAATTCAGGTGAAATTAGTGGAAAAAAACATATTCCTCAGAAGCAAAACAACACTCAACAACAGAACAAAACCTTACTTGACCATTGAAGATGATATCGACTCCATAGCTATAGAGCAAGTCTTCAAGATTTATTCTCATGGATTCAGCTTCTCTGTAATGCCCTTTGAATGTGCTGTACCAAGGAAGACTCCAAGTTGCTACCACCCATGGAGTTTCTGATCTGTCTATGTTTATCAGGTCGCTCTCAAGCCAAATATATTGATCAGCTGCCGAAGAAAACAGAAAATTCACAGAAATCAGAAACCCATTTCAATGCAATTCAAACCCAAAAAAAGAAAGAAAACTCAAAAGCTAGAGAAACTTTACATGAGTAATCATAAGGTTTGTATGAATTGAGCACAATGAAATGAGCTCCTCCCGCGTTGAATGAATAGTATAACGGCGAAAAAGAACCGCTTTCGTTCGAAGGGAATGCGAATCTTGAACTGTATGCAACGAATGTCAGATTATCATCGCTCTGCTGCTCAATCTCATGCTCTCCTGCTACCATCATGGTTGGAACATTAGCCATGAGTGGCTCCATGAACCTGTCATCAAAACTCCAACTAGTTAGTGTTCAAAAACCACCAAATGAATATCACAATCACTAAGAGAAGAATCTTTTTTTCACCTTCCCCAGTAATCCCAGCGAGGCTGATAAGTTTCTCGATTATAATAACAAGGATCACAACCGGAACTGGTTCCGTTCTGGTCACAGTGACAAGAACTGCAATCTAGTTTAGTCTTGTTCGCGAGATAAGTATCGGCGTAGCTGAACCCTCCGATTAAAACCACAAGATCAGGATGGTTAGAGAGAATCTGAGTCAAAACCGTTGATGTGTTGTAAGTAAGTCCCAAGTCTCCAGCAACAACGATTCTTCGAGGGTAAGACTCTAATGTAGACTTAGGCATTGTCCTGAAGTAATACTCTTTGCTCATTGCTGATAAAGACGGGTCTCCACATCGGTATTGATACAGTGTGTTTGGTTTAAGATCTGTGAGTTGAACATGGTGGATGATCCCTGAAGTATAGTTCTTCTTCTTGAGTCCATTCCCAGGAGAATACTGTTGGTTATAAACAATCGAATGGCCTGTGGCGATATTATTTCTGTTACGGTCATTGAATTCACCGTATTGGACTATGCTTTGCACTGAATTAGGATCCAGAGACACGGAATCTTGTTCCCCGGTTTGTAATTCCTCTGTCGTTATACACAAATCTTGCTTCAGTAAAAATGCAGAAATAGAGAAAAGCGAAAGTTGAAAGGATGAATTTTTAAGACAAAGATCTTTGATGTTGGAACAAAAGTTATAGCTTTTGTCCAATGTTTTGAAACCCGAACCGGGCCGGCCGGTTCGCCTGGTTAAACCGGGACTCAGTCACTTATTTGGGTTGATTTCATTCTTAAAATCCGAAATTTATTGATCCTACAAAATCCAGAAAAACTTGCGAGTAACCCGTGATCCAGTGATCCGTTGACCCAGTTAAACCAGCAATTTTAATTTTTTTATAAATATTTTTTAATATAAATAATCTCTAATTAAATTATAGAATATTGTTACTTTATGACTTTTGTTGAGTTTTAAAATTTGTAATTTGTATTAGCATTGAATTTTTTTCACCTGCTTATGTTATGTTGAACAATTTATGTTATGTTTTTTATATTTAATAATTTGAACAGTTTATGTTTTTTTATATTTAAATCTATTTTCTTAATTTTAAAACTATATATAATATATATATATATTATAAAATTTAATTAAATAGTTAATCTGTGGTTGACCCGGATCAACCCAAATAAACCCAGAAACTCAGTGATCCGATAAACATTCCAGTTTGCTTTCCGGGTCGGGTTTCAAAACATTACTTTTGTCCTATTTTTATCATTTTAACCGGCAAAATCGCAGACCCGGAACAAGAACTGTAAATAGTTTTTAACCTAGATCCACATCTTGGCTCAACAAAATCAAATTTATAAATTATTAACCTGATAGCATATTAATGGATGTTTAAAGTATAAACAAGATTATTCACATAATTCCACATTAGTAATGTATAAACGTAAGAAGTCAAAATTTTGAGCATTTAGAAATAAAGATAGAAAAAGGAAGAAATGTGAAGAGTCAAAGAGACCTGGTGTGACCCAAGAGATCCAGAGGGAGTCAAAGCTGTACGAGAGAGAGACAGAGATCTGTTCGGGTCGAAACTCGGCATTGGGTTCTACGAAACTCGGGTCGGATTCTGGCAAGTCGAATGCAACCGGGTTAAGATTCGGGTCGAGCGGAGCAGTCTCCGGCATAAACGGACCGTCGAGCGTCGTGGAGAAACCATTAACGATGATGAAAACAGTAGTTGAAACCAAAATGACGAAAAAGAACATCGACTTCGTTGTACTTGTACATTTCACCACCATTTGTAACATATTTCTTGCAGGCGAAGAAGATAACTCTTTAGTGGTTTGGTGTTTACTGTTTTACAATAAAGTTAAGAAAATGTTTTTTTTTGTAACAGGTTCCAATTATTTTTGTGGTTTAGGTTGTAAACCGGTGAACGCTTTATCGGTATTCCGGTTTTCAGATTTTAACTATTCAAACCAAAAATTACCGAGAGAACAACAAAATTAATTTCAAATAGTTAGGAATTAAAAATCAACTGGACAACGACGTTTAAACTTAAAGACGCAACACCAACTACAACAAACCGGAAATTAAAATCTAAAATGATTTAAAAGTCTTTTTTTTTAAAAGCCTAAAAAAATCCCCTTCCTTGTACCGGGATCAAATCGGAAGATCTGAAGAAATTCCGGCGAGATTAACCACCGCCTTGATCGGTGACAATATCAATGAAATCGCCATCTTCCATCATCAGCTGTGGAGAAACAAAAAAAAAAGGAAAATGTAGTAATTAACAGTGATTATTAAACTGGTTAAAAAATCAGAATATATATAAAAAAAAAAACCTGAGCAGGAGTGTTTCGTGGCTTGAGCTCTCTGTCATTGTAGATGAATCTGACAGTCGCTCTCTCGAAGTTTCGCTTTTCGCAGTAAGCATCCATTAGTTTCTTCAGAGATGTATTTCTTCCAATTTTGTAGACATCCTCTCCTCCATCCTGTTTAACATCATTTCGCAACCATTTTTCTTTAACTCAAACAAGATTTACTAAAATGTGTATACGAAAAGCAAAGATTAGATTTTGCTGTTTAAGGAAATTTCGTCAGATCGAGCGAAAACAAACATGCTGTAAACTTAGTGGAGAAATAAAAGGGTGGGAGAAGAGGAAAAACTCAAAGAAGAGGAGCATAATACTAAAGAGAAGTTTTTTCTATTTAAGGAAAGAGATCAAACAAAACATAACACTGTATGTATTAGGAAAAAATAAAGAAGCTTGAAGATGCAGAGAGAGAGAGAGAGAGACCTGTTGGGTCTTGATCCTGAGCATAACCTTCTTTTGAGGTGGTTCAGGAGATCGAGACCTCTTTGATACAAAAGAAGCAGAAATCGTTGTTGAAGAACTCACCATTGTTGAGACACACAAAAGTAAACTAAGACACTAGATAAGAAATAAGATACGCTATCTCAAAAGGTATTAGAAGAATTGTGAGGTTTCTGGGTTTGAGAGAGAGTGAAAGTTGAGACCTTTGCCTCACACTGCTATAAGAATTGTGAGGTTTCTGGGTATGAGAGAGAAAGATAGTGAAAGTTGAGAGCTTTTCCCTTACTATTGGTCAATTTTTCTTTCTTACTTTACCCTTTTTACCCTCGGTCTTGTACTTTGGTGCTTTTGAATCATCACATCAGGCAGACACGCATAACACACACATCCAAACAAAGCGTTGAAACTTGAAACTTGTATGACTCGGAAGAAAATGCTTATTAACTAACAAATTGAAACATAATATTTCAAATGATACAAGAAAGATAAAAAAAAAAAAGGAAAAAGACAAAACAAAACAAAAAAATAATACATATGTTAGAACTTAGAAGAACTAGACTACGCTTTCGTTTATTGTCTCCAAACCAAAAACATCACACCTAGAGAGATGAGTCTCATCCTAAAGAGAATTTTCCATGTCTAAAAGTTCTCTAACGAATAAATAATCTGACCTTTTACCTCCACAAAGTGTCGACTTGAGTAGATGCAAATACAAAAGAGACACTGAAGCTGTGTGAGAAGGAATGGATCCATCTACATGGGGGAGAAAACAGTATTGGATACCGGATCATCATCATCATCATCATCATCAGGAATCTAGATAATCTGGAGACTGGATGATTCGGATTAGCTCCTTGAGGTTAGCTAGAACCTGACGTGGTCCAAGACTACTTTCCCCCACAAAGTTCAGGAGTTGCTCGATGTTCTGTGATGTGATACTATGGTTAGATGAGGGTAGGGGCAAATATACATTGTCCTTTTCCAAGCATCAGCAAAGAGGAACAATACCGGAAAAAAAACTTTCTTTAACTAACCTTGTTTAATAAGAAGACAGCATAAGCAGCTCGAGTTGTCTCTTGACCATCCAGAAACAGAGGGAACTCTACAAATTTAGAGTTTTGGCAAAATGTGGAAATCGAAGACAGGTCTGACGACGAAGGCTCAATGTACGGTGCATAGTCTCGTATATATGTTTTGGAACCACCAAGTCGCAAAGGATAACGAATAGGCACTCCCAAGTAAGGAGCTAATAGGGACACGGCCTGCAAAATCCAAGCAAGGAAGCCTTTAGTACACAAAACCAAAGCCATTTAAGGCCGCACACACACACACACATTATGAAGCAAGTTTTAATGCCATAGATCAGTAGTGAGAAAAGAGAACGGAACACACATGAGCTACATATCCTAGGGCGGTTGCCGACTTCTGAACTTCTTTCTTATCGGTGAAGAAGCTCATCTTTGTAAATGGGGCCATACTAAAAGGCAACCCCAGTATTCTCACGGATCCTTGACTCATAGGCTTAGTTCCTACTTAAGATATAAGCAAGTCAACAAGGTTAGATGCTGCAATAAATAACTTTTTTTCAAACACTATAAAGGCATGCACTGAAAGATGTAAAGGTCTCATTCTCATCAAAGTCTATCTTCTTAATTCTTATAAGCTTTTAGACACAAATCATACAACTGACCTAATCTACTGCCACCTGGGAGTGACTCCAGTTCTTGGTCTTGCGAAGGTCCTGCCTCAATCTTCAAGGGATAGATAAATGAAACTTGAGATACCATGTACTGCTGCCTCTTTCTCAGCTTATTCGTTACAATCTTTAGATGTGCATAACCACTTTCTCCTTCTAGTTGGCAGTTTGATTCCTACAACACAAAAAAAAACCTAAAAATTAAGTACTAAAATTTACTCAGAATGGTACTAAGAGACAGTTGCATGAAGAAAGCTTTAAGTCGTGTCCTGCTCCTGAGTGAGATCATACCTGCAATTTGCTTTTAGCTATGGAAAGCGTTGTGCCGCCTACTAACAAAGACCTGACTTCTGTACTGAGATGATCCTCTTTCTCTTTAACATCCTGCTCAGTGACTTTGCAGGCCGATGATATCTTCTCCACCAGCAACTTTCTTGCTTCCAGCCTCTGACGCATTTCTTCAAGTTCATTACTGCGTCTCAATGATTCAGCACTAACCTGCCCGAAATTTGGCCGCCCGCTAAACCGCGGGCTAATCAATTAAAGCTCATTGAGTAGACAAAAGCAAGAGATAAATGCAACTGTAAGTACAATAAGCTTCTTATGGTGGAAGTCTCAAACGCTAAGTGGTGCATCAAGAACAATAAGATTCAAAAGGTCATAGCTTTGCTTCACCAACATTCCTTTAGGACAATGCCGCTAATAAAAAGTTTATGATTTTCCACTATGAAACTACTCTTAAACCAGACATGCCCAGAAGATAAACACATGAGTAAGAGAAAAACCTGAATAAGAGACTCGAGTTTGGGCTGCAGGCTTAGCTTCTTCTCCGTGGCTGATTTCAGAGCAGAAGAAAGACTCCATAGCCGCGTGAGCTCATGGTCAAATTCTTCCCACTCGATGACCTTCACATCTTCTCGATCGCCTCTGCTCAGCTTCTCTGACAAACTTCGCTCCGTTTCCCTTTCCATCAACGATTATCTCGGAAACCACGCAACGCAAGCTCTGGCATCAAGTAGGTAGGAGAAGATCCAGATCTTTTCATATCACGCTTCGAATTTCATCACCAATCTTATGAAATCGATGAATTGGATCAGAAAACAAATATATAAAAAAAAAACCCTAAATTTAACTGATCGGAATAAGAAAAACCGATCACGAAGGTATTTGAAGCAAGAAACGAATAGTGAGAGATACGAGATCGATCAGCAGAATAAATAATTATGCAGGATTGAAGAAGCTTCTCAGGCTGATTCGTCGTCCTCTGGTTTTTCAGTTTTTGCAGAATTTAAAGTTTCTTACTTTAGGAAAGAGAGAATCAATCTCCCGGGTCAGAATTTACCGAACGGCTTAAACGGGCGGGTATTTTTCTAAGAAACGGGTCAAGTAGTATGGACCGTTCGATCCTCCCAACTGATGCTATTTCCCGTGAAAAGCATGATTCATCAACTAAAGTTTTTTTTGTACTATTATTTGTCACACACTATACAAACACTTTTTGTATAGAAAATAGGACAAGTCTTGTAAATTGAAATCAAGAGCTGATGCTAATTTAACTAATGGGTTTTTATTTTAGTTTAGTTATATTTGCTGGCATGTTTGAGAGTGAAAATCATACATTACCTATTAAAAATGTAATCTCACTATAAGCTAACATCAATTAAACGACAAGCAGTCATTGAGTTTCACTCTCAAGTTTTTTCAAATCCCTTGTTTGTGAATACTCACTCTGAACATCTTTTCCTTCTTCCATCATTTTTTTCACCATTGCTACCCTCTCAAGAGTCCTATCCACTGCAATCTGAAACGCATCTTCAATCTTCTCCGGTCCAACCAATCCCGGTTTAGTATATACTATCTTTGGTATAATCTTCGCAACCTCGTTCCTCATCCTCCAAATCATCTCCTTATCAATCCCACCCAACAGCTTCCTGAGACTGACCTTTCCATCTTTCATTTCCTTTTCCGGTATGTAAACCGAGTACTTGGTATAATTCTTAGGGAAATACCACTTATACTGGTTATAACCCGAACCAGGATGAAAGAAAACCGGTATACAACCGGCCAGAATCGAGTCAAAAATCGACCTCCGAGTATACGAATCTCCCGGAGGTTGTAAACAGAAAACCGAATTTTTAAACACCTCCATTATCTTAACCGGATTATCGCAGTCTGATGAAACACAGTTAAGAAACTTGCATTTACCGTGAGACGCAAGGCACTGCTTTATAATCTCCCCTCTTATAGATCCATCCATGGTCGGCCTTGGACCTCCAACAAAGGAAAACAAGTATCTCCTCTTCGCATTCTTCACTTTCGTCTGCCATCTCCAAATCTCGGCTAAGCTCTTGGGATGGAAATAAGTCGGATAAGGAATCGCAATATCGTTAGTCCAAGCAGTAGCTTCGATAGATAACATTGTCATATTAGCAAATTCCGGCAACAGCATCAGTTTGTTTCCCCACCCGGAATCGTCGTCCTGGCCTCTCCTGAAATCCCAACCGATCCGTCCGGTTACAAAGAAGTGATCTCGACCGTTCATCTTACTCCACTCGGGTGTCTCTCTTAGCCATCGAGCCAGCTCTATCCCCAACTCGTCTCTAACCGTTGTGTTGTAACCCCAGAGGTGACGGCTCACGTCGAATCCTGCGTAGAACGGGACATAGATCGCTGAGGCTAGAGACGAATCGTCGGTCAAACACTCGTAATGTTTCATCCTCTCTCGGAAGATAACCGCTAGCAAGAATTGGTTTGTTGAGTACCAAGAACCGGTTTTCACGGTTAAGACTCGAGCTGTCTTGTTACTGGACGCGGAAACCTGTGGACCGAGGCCGGAATTGACCATGAATGGACACATATCGAACCATTTAATGAGTGCTCGACAGTTACTGATGATGTCGTCGTTGAATCTGCTTGGAAGATTGTGCATATAGATGTACCTTCCGGCGCAAGAATCTGTTTCTTCTCCCTCGGGAGGATTTGCTCTGTGACTGTTTCCATCACTTTCGTTCGCAAATTTGGTGCGATTTAGGGTTTGACGATGTGAAGAAGAAGCGATTGAGATGAAGAAGTTATTAACTTGATGAGCGATTAGAGGGGTTTTTCCGACCAAATCTGGTATATGGACTTGAAACAGAACGAACAGGCAGAACATTAACGAGACTGAGATGACAACCCAAAGCTTTGGAACTGGTTTCATCATCATCTCTCTTCTTTTACTCGTTGGAAAAAAAAATTAATGGTACTGACATACTAATCAAAAATTTAAAGGATTCAGTCTCGGAAAATTTACATTTTCTTTGTTTTATGCTTTCATTTACCTTTTCCAAATGAAGCAACAATAGATATTTTACCATTTATGATTGATTGAATTCTATGAATTTTATTAAATACATCTCTCTTTTTTTTAAGAAGTTTCCATCATGGACAGACACGCAGAGATGATTTGGTTCACATTCCACAATAGTTAGCAGGAATATTAATACTGTAGAGTAAAAAGGCCAATTTCTTTGCGACTAAAAGAGATAGCTTACTCGTGATCATTCAATTTCAAATCCTTGGTTTTTATTGAATTTATGACCATTTTCAGAAATATGTCTTGTGATTGTGACCCATTTTTGTCTTTTATATTGATTGTAACAGAATTATGTATTTCCTTTGAAGGAAGATTTTATATTAATAGCAAAAGACAATATATAATCCAAAATGTACTCTTTCAGAAAGAAAAAAAAGGTAAACAATATAGGCAGCTAACTACTGTACCTGGAAATTTTTTAGTAAAAAACACTAATATCCTTTTAGTTTACTGATTATAGATTTTCTATCTATTGTGGACAAAGATTTCCACTCTGTCGATTTTCCTATCAAAATTAGATTAATTTGCATTTTCGACGGATACTCTTTTTGACGAAAGGCTAAAAAATGTATCTCTTATATTGATAATGGTTGGATTTAGAGCGGCTGATTAAAATTAAAAAAGAAACGTGAAATACATGGTTTAATTCGGTTTGCACCGTTAGCTAAAATATGCATCTAAATTTATAAGTTCTTATTAGAGTTCTTATTAGGTTTCTGTTTACACTTTTTCATATAATTTTTTCTTCTCTATATTTTCAAGGTATTTTCAATGATTGTTGTTATAAAACAGGCCTGGTCCATAAAAGAAGACTAACAATTTATTACTTGCAGTGGAATCTCAATTTCCCATTCTTGTATATAACTCATTTAATATTTCTACTTTATATTTTGCCCCATATTAAATTATGTAATTGCTAGATAATTGAGGTCTTGAACAATGACACTCTCTTAAGAACCCTGTCCACTGCAACTTGAAACGCATCTTCAACCTTCTCCGGTCCAACATCCTCCGGTTTAGTGTATATTATCTTCGGTATTATCTTCTCAACCTCGTTTCTCATACTGAAAATCTTCTCTTCACTAACCTTAACCAATAACTTCTCAATACTAACCTTACCATTCTTCACATCTTCCTCCGAAATGTAAACCGAATACTTGGTATGATCCTTTGGAAAATACCACTTGTACTGGTTATAAGCTGAATCACGGTTAAAGAAAACCGGTATACAACCGGCTAAAATCGAATCAAATGTAGATCTCCGAGTAGGCGTATCTCCGGGTGGTTGCAAACAGAAAACCGAATCTTGAAAAACCTCCATTAGCTTAACCGGCTCACCACAATCTTTACTTGTACCACAATCAAGAAACTTGCATCTTCCTTCCGACGCAAGGCACTGTCTTGTAATCTCTCCTCTAATAGATCCCTCCAATTCGGGTCTGTTTGCTCCGACGAATGAGAACAAGTATCTTCTCTGCATCATACTTACTTGCATCTGCCATCTCTTAACCTCGACACCGCTTTTCGGATGGAAGTAAGTAGGATAAGGAACCGCAAACTCGTTGCTACAAGAATTTGTCTCGATCGATAGCATCGTCATGTTCTCAAATTCAGGCAACCGCATCAGTTTGTTTCCCCAATCTGAATCCTGGTCAGAAACTCTCCTGAAATCACGACCGACCCGTCCCGTGACAAAGAAGTGATCTCGGCCGTACATTTTCCTCCACTCGGGTCTATCCCTAAGCCATCGAGCTAGATCTTCACCGAGTTCGTCTCTGAGCTTCACGTTATACCCCCAAAAGCGTCTCACGTCGAAACCAGCATAGAACGGGACGAAAACCGCAGAAGAAAGGGAGGAATCGTTGGTCAAACACTCATAGTGTTTCATTTTCTCTCGGAAGATAACCTCAAGCATGAATTGATTCGTATAGTACCAAGGGTCAGTCTCGGTTGTTAAGACCCGTGTGGTGTGGTTATGATCGTCCTCCGAAATCCGTGGACCGAAGCCAGAGTTGACCAGGTACTTACACTTATTGCGCAATTCGATATATGCTTCACAATTCTCGATCAGATCATCATTGAACCTACTGGGAAGATTGTGGATATAGACGTACCTTCCAGCGCAAGTATCTGTACCTCCTTGTGTAGATTTAACAGTGATATTTAAGGTTTCTTTGTCGGAAAGAAAGAGATGGGTTAAGATTTGATTGATGTGAAGGACAAAGAGCGTACAGAACACAAGTGTTGGTAAGATTTCTATCAAAGACTTTGGAGCTCGTTTCCTCACCATCTTTTTATTTCTTGGATTAAATTTCTCCATTTTCTGGCTTGATTCTGGAGAAAATGGAGGTACTAATTTGTGAAGATAAGATAAAAAAAAGTTGAGTGATTTTACAGAAAAGAAAGATTGTTCTTCCGCTTGGTGGGGATATGAATCTTTAATTCCTTGGGTATCAACTTGATTTAAATATATGTGCGATGATGACTTTAGTTAGTAAATTTTATGGATTAACAAAGAGAAAGAAAAAAACAATGAATTATTGAGTTTTCCTTGATTTAATTTAATTTTAATTTATTTTTAATTTATGCATCACACCATCCCCGCGTGTCTGTAATATAAAATGCCATATTCCACCTGTCCTAATGATTTTAAAGGGGACCCGATTTTTATTACAAAACTAGTTAGTGGTATAGTATAATAACATAATGAAACACGTGAAACTTGTATTGATGCAAACTGAAATGTTTTTAAAAGATCATAGACAGTTTGACACCAAAATAAAAGAAAGACCTAACAAATATATTAACATCTAGCATTTTAGTCCATTTAGTTGAATATCTAGTATCGTTTAATGTTTTTTTCCCTCTCAAAAACAGTTTAAATACGAATAATAACACGGTTATGATATTAACACAAACCATTCCGGTGGTAACATAGTAAAAAGACACTAACACAAACCATTATAAGTCTAAACTGAAAGATAATGGTATCATCTAATATCTATAGACGCAATTGCTTCTTTTACCAGCTAAAAAACCTTAAATATTTTTGTGCGAATATACAGAAAGTACTTGGTAAAATATGTACAGAGGTTAAAATAAATGACAGAAAGAAAATGTAGTAGAGAGTATCAGACTTTTTTTTGGTAGAAGAAACAGGATATACCACCAAAAGACTAACTGAAATTATGCGAAACTGAAACTTGAATAAATGATTAGAGAAATGGAACATAAGATCGTGGTTGAACTCGAATCCAAATTTAAATGACTAGAAGCAGTATCAAAAGTTGAAACATCTGTTTTTATCTCTGCATTTGTCTGTCAACAGAAACCAATAAAAACCAACAACACGTTCCCACTAAATTAAAAAGACAATAAAATCATGAAGCATATTCAAAGGCTTGTGGAGGTTGTGGCTCGTCATCTACGGCCATAGCCGAGGCGGTGGTTCCTTGTGTAGCCGCCGCTGCACCAGTTGCAGGAGAAGCTGTTGAAGTCGGTGCGTCCGTCAGAGAGAGAACCTCTGGCTCGTGTTCACGTAAGTCTTTGAGAAGAACGAAACCCGATGGAGCTTGCTTCACCGGTACGTATCTGCTGTCGTCAAGCAACTTTATGTATTTCTCTTGAGCTGGGACTACTCGAGCTGGGTTCACCAGAATCTCAAACGCTGGCTCTGGCTCTGCAGCTTTCTTCTCAACCGTTGCTGCGCTATCAACCTGATAGTTCACGGAGACAAGAAGTTCAAAACACCGTCCAAACAGGATAAAGACTCGAAAGAGAGAATCTAGAGACTTATACTCTGGATAAAGTAAATCAGAAGTAATCATTTATAGAAGAGGGCAACATTACCTGCATAGAGTCTCCTTCCTTCTCAGCTGATGCTTTTCCTTTTCCAGATCCACTCTCATTGCCAGACTTTTCGGCAACTGTTGTTTTTTCAGCATTAGCTTTCTGCTCTGCATCTTTCTTGGCCCTAGCTTTGGCTTTAACCGAGGTCGAGAGAACAGCAGTCGGTAGTTTGACAGCAGTATTGGCTGTAGGAACCGTGGTTGGTTTTGGGTACTCGAACAAAGACGGTTTTGCGTGTGACATGAACTCAAACTTTGGGACCTTAAGGTCGTAGTTTAGACCGATGAAAGCGGTTGGTGAGAAGGCCAAGCTGATGAAGTAGATCAGAGGGTACCAGTACCAAAACTGGGTGAAGACAGCGAGGCCAATAACAGCAGTGACTTTGTCATGTTTGGTCTTAGAGAGCAATCTTATAGTAACGTTCCTACCACCAGCATCGAGGATACCAGAGGCCAAAATGGCTCCCATCTTGCTCATTGTATCTTCGTGCTTGTCGAGTATGATCTTCTCAAGTTGGCGCCTACAAAACATATATAAAATCTCAGTCTACGAAAATTTTCTCTACCTCCCAATGCTGAAAAGAATAGATCTGTACTAACCTAAATGCTCCAACACGAGAATCGCTTGCTTCGCTAACTTGGACCATCACCATGGCCATTGCAATCAAAGCACCTTGACGAACAAAGTCAACCACATCTGATGTAAGTGGCTCCAACAAGGATATCGCTTCACTGAGGCCAGTGCCCGCACATGAAATGCCTACTGCAAGAGCCGCTCCATAGCGAACATGTGGGTTGTACGACTCGGAAAGTAATGACACAATACGGGGAGTCTACAGAAAAAAAAAAGTAATCAGCGGAAACCATTAGAGAGGATAAGCAAACACAAAATCATTGGAGTACTAAAGAAATAGAAGTTAGTAGTCACAAGTAAAGGAGCATCTGAAACTGACCTGCTCTGGATCAGAGTACAACACAAATCCAAGTGCCAGAACAGCAGTCCGTCTAACATCATCACTGACATCAGATACAGCAAAGTGTAGCAATTGGCGAATTGCCTTATTGTTTGCTGTTCCACTGTAAGCCAATGCTAGTGCGTACATGCCACCGTAACGGATGATAGGGTCTTGGTCTCTGGTCATCTGCTCAATCAAGGTGTCTGCTCCTTCTTCTCTGCCATATACTGTAAGAGCTATGCCTAGAGCCAAACCCCTAAAAGACATACCAGATGCTGATTAGTGAAACGCTAAATCAAAATACCATGCACCCTCACCACAAAAACTACATTACCTTATTATCTTCTCATGCTGTGTCTCGTGAGCATAAGCGAGCATCTCACTGGCTTTTTCAGTCGCAGTTCCAACCAATAATAAACCCATGCTGATGCCAGCAGCCTCACCAGCAACCGCACTGTCAGTATAAAGCACGCTTTTGACATCATCATATATCTCTTCATCAGCTGTCCCAAGAGCTGACAAACCAAGACCTAAGCAAGCTCCATGTTGAATGACCTGCATCCATATTTTCGCAATACAAGTTATCTCTGAACAAAGAGGCTACCAGGAACTGAGAGAGACTACATTCAAGAAATTTTTTAACTAATCACCTCAACATTAGTACTACGTAAGCTTTCACGTAGAAATTGCTTGATGCCCTCTCCATGGTTAGCATGAATGAGGCCAAGAGCATATAAAGCACCTCCTTCGGAATAAGGACTCCCACCACCACCTGCTCCTCCCTGAGGCAAGTATGGAGCCATCAATGACCTACCCTGTTGCAGGTGGCCTCTGTGAATAACACCCAATCCCGCCGTAGCACTAAACTTAGCCCAATTGGTGGCCCTGCTTAGCCAATCCTGTCAATTCAGAAAAGAATAAGAAAATGAAAATGAAGTTAAATACAGTAAGCCAAGTCAATCTCAAACATAAAGAAGTATTACAGTGAAAATTAAAATTTACCAAATTCTCTCTAAGAAAAGTGTCCACTGTAGTTCCAGCATGCATAATGGCATTAGCATATATTGTAGCACTGTGGCAAACACTGTTCCGCATCTCGACAGACTGCTTGATTGTCTTCAGTATCAGCAGGTCCGATCTACAAGAAGACAATATTAGCAATGCAGCAAATGATTACTTCCTGTAAGGAAAATATCTCGATTTAAAATATTAAACATTCAACAGTAACTTACTTGTTGTGGCTGTATAGAAACTGAAGTGTAAGCTGAATAGATGTCTCTCCAGATAAAATTCCCTTAATCTTGGTTAGCCTCTCAGCATATGTAGCGTCAACTGGATCCGTCTCATGCACAACTGTCTGAGCTGGAGCTCCGTCCGCCATCTGAACATCCCCTGAGGGGTTTTCACTTGGAGCAGCAGTAGTTTCAACGGCCTGAACTGCTTCTACAGGTCGTGTTTTGGGAGCAGGGAGGCGATCTCTAACACTCAAGAGAAAGGCCTGGTGCTCGTTCTCTACAAGATCAAATCCAATTTGCAATGCTAACAAAGCATCATCCTTGCTCTCGGAGCGAAGAAGCTTCTCCAATATGCTTGCAACACCTTGCGGTTCATCCAAAAACATGAGGCATTGACAAATGCTCAAATAATCAGGAGAAGGCAGCTTCTGGTAGACTTTAACAAGTAAACTAAGCACCTGAAAGAATAGAAAAGGATGTCATCACCTTTCCAAATGAAGACTAAACTAAAATAGCCTAGACTAAAACCAGAACATCTATTTTCAAGTCAATGAAGGTCTGAGACCATTAGTCTTACCTCGTGTCTGTACTCTCTGCGGTTAACAAAAGAATGAGAAACATTGATGCAGTATGCTAAAGTTCCCTGAACATTATCGCTCTTTGTGATAGCTTCCTCCAACTTATCCAACCTCCGGCATTCTATCGCAATGCCCATGGCCTGTTGATACTTCCCATCAGTGATGCATCTGCAGACAGAAAACGAGGTAAGAACATTGAGGCACTAAGATGACTAAAGCATTAAATGTAGGCATACATACTTTCCAAGCATTCTTTCAACAATGGCCTCCAGCCGGGGATCAATGTCCACCATCTCGTTTGACTCGACTGCCTTTGATCTGAGAATGGCATATTCATCTATTGCTTTGGCTGAAAACATCAAAAGCATCTGATGAGTAAACATTCATCAAGCAGTCATCAATTATCTAATCTTATACAAAATTATACTACTTATAATGCAGAAAACGATAGCTGGATATGCAAGCTGCATGTATGCAATTCAGATAATAGGCAGTGGAAACTGTAAATGATATTGCAGTCAACAGTACCCTCGCTAGAGTCTATAGTCAGAGAACTGCCAAAAAAATAAAGAGTAAACACAGTAACAAGTTTCTAAATCCTCACCCAGAAGTGTATGAACATAATCAGTGTCCTCTGAAACATCAAACAAGGGTCCAGCTCCAAGGGCATAGGACAACGAATCATTAAGCTCCCCCAAGTAGTAGAAAACCTGAGATAAGATTCCCATTATCATAAAAAGAAACATATCTTGTAATACATTCATAAAACTTAATTAGAAACAGGTCACGCTCTACACTTCTACCACTATCCACCAGCTCTTACAGGGATATATAGCAAATATTATACGCAACCAGACACCAATTTAGTTTAACAAACGCTAAAAATCGTACCTTGGATACCAACAGAGCAGCAAGCTGTCTTTGATGCAGATCGAATTCTTCATCTTCATATAAACTCTCACTGCAAACAAAAACGTCTCTCGAGTCAAGTTATATATCAAGTAGTCCAAAATCATTGAAGAGATCTAACAACTAATAGTATCATAAAACTACCCATGCCTCACCAAAATATTCAAACTTTAATACCAAAATCGACAAGACCCAACACAAAGCGAGCTCAAAGAATCCAAATCTCACAATTCTCTCTCAAAGTATCGAGAAAACAAGACAGATCAAGTGGCATACAAAAACCCTAATTCTCAAACCGGAAAATTAAAAGATAAAAAAGTTAAGAGAGGATTACATGATCGGAACACTAGTGGAGATCTCGGGCCAGAATCGATCAACCAGGTTGTTGAGATGCGAGAGCGCATGATGCTTCAAGGAAGGCTGAGGCTCGTTGAGCATTGCCAGTAACCCTCCAGCCGAACTAACCATAGCGGCGGCCATTGATGAAGAACACTAACCGGAATCGAAAAACCCTAACAGAGATCAAATCGGATGACGAACAAGAAACCTCCAACGAAACCCGTCTTGGATCTCTTTAGGATTTTGAAGTGTTGAGTTTATAGGACCGAAGCTAAAAAGTAAAAGACGAAGAAAGTAGTAAGAGACTCGGATGCAAACTATGGATTTAGTACTTATCGAATATTAAGAGACTTACCCAACAAGTCAGGAAATTAAAAACTACCCCGATTGTATAGCTTAATTACATTTTAGTCTAATATTTTGTGGAAATTGCGTTATAAATCACTCATATTTTTAAGTTTCATGTAAATGCCTTTAATACTTTGTCCAAATTGTTGGTCTTGCTAACAAATATACTACCAAACAAATTTATTGCAACTTAGCAAAATAAAATAAAATACCTTACGTAGAAAAATGTAACTTCTTTTGAAATGTAGATCACTTTTACAAGAGATGAATGGTATCGACTGAATGATTTGTTTATTTCTTGACCTAAAGGTTATATATATACTACATATATACAAGATGAAGTTTTAATTTAAAAAACCGACATCATCTAAAAAAAAGCAAATATACATAGATTATTTGGATATCAAATATATCTTTTAACACAATTTTTTCTTTTTAATCCTATGGATTGTTTTTATATGTCATATTTAAATTTATTGCACATCATTCACCTACCGATCTTGAATGAAAAAGGCAAAATTGGAGCACAACCGCAACATTTGCACTGCCCACCTACCCCACCCACCAAACCGGGAATAGCAACTAAACCAAACCAATGAATCCATCGGTTTTCCATTGGTACATGTGTTTCCAAAAATTGGGTCAGATGAATACCAAAAATTCAAAATAGTAGAGGACTTAATTCCTGATTATTTGAAGGTAAATTCACAATCTAATTCCACTATACCGGTTTTCACACCTACCCACACTCATAATCCAGTTATTTTGTTAGCGAACCAAATAAAACCGGAATTCCAACGGATTCGTCAAATGGTCTGGTCTGAACCCAACAACTCTCTCTCTCTCTCTCTCGCTATAAAGTTTTTAGCTTTAAAACTCAGTGTCAGGTTTTGGTGGGATAATTCTGGTAAAGAAGCAAAACGATGGGGGACGAAGCAAAGATCTTCACTCTTTCTGAAGTTTCAGAGCACAATCACGCTCATGATTGCTGGATTGTCATCAATGGAAAGGTTCTTTCTTCTTTCTCCTTATTTCTCAGTTCTTAAATTAGAGATCTCGTTCTTCATTCCCTTTTGTGGCCCTCTTGGTGTTTGCATGAGATTAAAGCTTATGAAATCTCAAAAATTTCTAAGTTTAAAAGATGTTCTTTTTTTCCTTAATTGGATCAAATCTTTAGAGAGGTAAAGTGGAATAAGTAGTAATCATGACACGTATGCTAAGGATTCAGCTCTTTCGATCTCTCTTTTCTGACTTTTAAATTGAAGATGAAGCAATGTAGAAACATGTCTTCTTACATATCTTTGATTTCATCTACACCGATCTCTGTTGGAATTGAGTAGCTGACACGTGTCGACCAGTAGAGTTGGTCCTGAAGATCGATCATTTTGGTGTTGTGATTATTTTGTTAACGAATCTGCATATCCCAATTCTTGAGTCTGCTTTCTTCGTGACAACTTGTTTCCTTTTTTCTTCATTGAATAGTTTGTGAAATGTGTAGATCATCTGCTTCAATCACGGCACAAGAAAGATGGAAACTTTAGACGTTTTGCTGTGTTGTTCCATCAATAGTTTCTATTTCTTTTCATTTTTGCCACTTAGGTTCATGTTTTTTCAGAGTTACTTGGCGCAAGAATCTTTGCTATATACATGAAAAAAAATCGTTTATCAAGTTCAGAAAACAACAAATTTCTCTCTAAACATAGGTGCATCCACGCCATTGATCTTGTTTTAGTCAAATGGAGCAAGAACCTTACGAACTTTCCTTTTTGTGGCTCCACTGTTTCTTGCATTGGAATCATAAGTATGGTGATGTGGGTTCTATCTCGTGTTTTAAACTTCTTGATTTAACAAGAAATCTTCAAAGCTCAGACGTTTTTTCTCGAAAACGCAGGTGTACAATGTGACCAAGTTCCTTGAAGACCATCCTGGTGGGGATGAAGTTCTCTTGTCTTCCACAGGTCTGTTGTATACACATTAACTATCACCAAGTTCTCGTCTTTGATTGCTTAGTCGCCAAATTCGTTGTGTAGATCGATACATAGCATTTTCGATCACTATTCTTCTCCTTTACAGGTAAGGATGCAACTGATGATTTTGAGGACGTGGGTCACAGCGAGAGCGCGAGAGAGATGATGGAACAGTACTACGTAGGAGAGATCGATCCAACAACAATCCCAAAGAAAACCAAGTACACTCCTCCTAAGCAGCCTCACTACAATCAAGACAAGACCTCTGAGTTCATAATCAAGATCCTCCAGTTCCTCGTACCCCTTGCCATTCTCGGTTTGGCAGTTGGGATTCGTATTTACACAAAATCAGGGTAGTCTTCTTTTTTTCTGAGCATTACTCCCTTATATCTATATGTAGAGAGAGAGAGAGCGAGAGAGAGAGATTTAAGTCTTTACAGAGGACAAATCTCGAAGCCTCTCCCTTTGTTCCTGTCTCTCTGCTCCCATCTTTTGTTGTTTGAATGTATTTTGCACTGTTTCTTAAGTGTTGTGATGAAGTTGCATCTGAACAGCAGTCTTGCAAGAATGCAACTGATATTGATCTATAATTCATATTGTGAAAGTTATGACTTTGAGTGATCTGTTTGAAGGTATGGTTTATTATTGGCTAAGCCTTATCATGCAATATTAAAAGATGGATCATTCGAGGAGAATAATAACCAAGAAACTCTCTAAACAAGATTAAGATCTTACCCCCACCAAAAAAAAAAAAAGCGGATTACAAATTCCGAAGAGGAAGAGACGTTTTCTGTGGTTGTAGTATTGTGTTTTTGGCAGTTACTAAACAGAGTGTGTGGCAGTTAGTGACTTGAGCTCACTAAACCATATCCCAACACGAAGAATCCAAAACCTCTTCTGTAATTATGGGGCCCTCTTTTGTACATCTCCACCGCTTTGGCCGCAACCGCAGACACAAAGTTCGATACTTGTAACTTCGAGAGTAATAATTTTTTTCATTTCAAGCACATTTTGGATTGAATTGGATTATTCTGTGGCAAGCTCGGCAACTGTTTTCGGACGACGTCGTATCGAGACTCAAATCGATACAATCACAGAAACGAATCTTGTGACAAGCAAAGACGCGACGAAGTTTCGATGATAGATCAAAAGGCGATCACAATGATGATGATGATGATGTGTAGTGGGCACGAATTTACAAAATAAGATAATATAGTGGGCACAAATCACAAAGTGGAAAGTACAATGGACACAACACACACACACACATACAAGAGTGATAGAAAGAGAAAGAGATTCTTTCGAAACACTTTTGATTTTAGTGAGAAGACAGAGACAAAACAAAGACCACTATGAGACACTATCCATATCCATAACGAACAGCTTCTCTGTCTCTCTATTATCAGTATAGTATTTGCATGTATACTTGTATGTTACTTACCTGTCATTGTGATGTTATATGTCTCAAGAACACAGCACATGGACCATAATGATGATGATGATAAGAACAAGAACTTAAGATGAAGTAAGAGAAGAATAAGACAAGAGAAGGAGCAAGTCTTTATTGGAAAGAGTTTGAGATCAGTACATGTATACACATAAAAGGATAGAATTTTTAAAATGGTTACAGGACAAAGATTTATAAGAGAATGCAGAGTCCCCTGTACCCGAATTATATATAAAAAGACTTCACTAACCATTAACCGAAAGAACTCTAAACCCTAAACGCTAAAAACCCTAACAGACTTTGGGGTTACTTCTAACAACCTTCTCTTATGGTTTAGTAATACTACCATGGTGATCTGTTCAGACTTGAAAAGGATTGGTATCAGTTCTGTGTTACACAAACCCTTTTCAGCCACTTATGTCACAGACACCAATTTAGAAAACGCTACATGGGTTTATATCCTAAGTTCTTTACATGTTGGGAAAGTTAAGAAACGGATGATGGAAATAAAAAGATCAAACCGATAATTAGCAGGAAAATGTTAATATAGACTGTATTAACTATTAACCCCCCTTTTTTAGTTTGTTTCTAATCATCTACCTTCTTCCATTCAAACCGTCCTGGTAATGGTTGCTCGTTCACAGGATCAAAGTTGTACCTGAAAAACAGAGTTTTGACAGAATCCGTTAGTGACACAGCAGAACAGAGCATATCAAATGGTAAAACTCATAGCCAAAAAGAGTTTAGTTACTGTAGAACAGAACAGAGCAAACGGAAAAACTCATACTTCTCAATGAATTGCTTCTGTTGCTCTTCTTCAGCACCCGAGAAAAACTCGTCCATTTCAGGTGTGGTTGGTAGGTGACGATGGCTGCCTGATAAACTCTCTTCTCCTTGGTTACTGTTATCACTTACACCATTGTTGAGCTTCGTAGACGATCCCGGGGTTGTGATGGTTTCAGGCTTTCTTATCAAACTGCATGGTGTGGATTCCCTTGTGGTCCTGTTGAAGCTGAGAGAGTAAGTAATATGTTACTTTCATTTCACTTCGTACAAATGCTCTCAAGGATGGAAGCAATTAAACTTTGTTTCCTTAATTAGTAGCAAAAGCAAACAAACTTTATAGCCTGTAGTTATAACTGAAGCTGATCTACTGAAAAGAAAAGGATAATTGAGCAACTTCTTGTTTCACCAATGCTTGGAAAGTTTATACCAATACATATCAGAAAGCATAAACAAGATCTCTACTTTAGATTGATCTAGAAATGGAAAAACTTTCAAAAAGCGAGAGAACGTTGCACAACCTCTGAAAAATTAGCCAAGACAGTCAACGATATTTAGATCTAAAGAGTTAGAGATTCAAGATCTTTATGCACAAATGCAACATTCTTTACATCAAAGCAGATTAGACAGAAAAAAAAGTTTTGAAGAAAAACCAATTGTCACTATCAGCTTCTTTAGTTGCACAAGTAATTGAAGAAGAAAAGAAATAAACTTTCTCAAGAAAAGAAATTGATTGATTAATAGTATAAATCATTTTCCCGGAAACAGAGAGAAGAGTCTGGTGTGTCAGATAAAGAAAAGATGGCATCATATCATACAGAAGGTAAAAAAAAAAACATTAAATTTCAAATCGAAAAAACAATTGGTCCTTATTTTTTGTTATTTCAAATTACCCACGGAAAATTCAAATTCAAAACCACAAATTTTTTTCTAGAGACGAACAGATTCATACAAATCAAATCCACAGGTTTGATAAGTTGGGAGGAAGATTGATAAGTTGGGTAAAGTAACGATTTTTTTATTAAAAAATTGTACCTTTCACTGCCTTGAAGCTCCATGAAATTTTCCCCAAACGAAGTTTCAATACATGGATCCTTGTTGATTTCGCCAATCAATCCCTTTTTACCAAACACAGCACTCTCAGCAACCGAATCGGACCTAGACCCGTCACCGATAGACCCGCGAATCGAACCAGCGAGGGAATCCAAATTTTGGGGATTAGGTTTAGGGTTTCGGCCGCATGTCTCTTTCCTCCGCTGCTGTTTTCTCCGTTTGCTCGAACGAATCACGACAATTGGAGGCTTCTTCTGGAGCCGACGACTCCGGAGCTGAAGATACGAGCCGCCACAATCCGTCATCTTCTGCTTCTGCTTCTGTTTCGACGGCGGATTAGGAGAAGGAGAAGTCGGTAGCGAGGAGGAAGAGGAAGGTTTTTGAAGGCGGCGTTGGAGAGCTAAGGACTTAGCTCGAGTAAGAACACCGAGTGAAGAAGGAGAAACATCCATCAAAGCTATGGCTTCTCCATCGATTTTGCTCTTCCTTATGTATTTCCCCATTTTCCGACGCTTTTCATGGAAAACTCAGAGAGAGAGAGAAAGAGAGAAAAAAGGTTCGATTGGGGAGGTGTGAGAGAAATCGGAGTTAGGGTTGAAGATGGTGCTGTGTGGGGTCACTCTCTGTCTCTTTTTTTTTCCTCCTTTTAAATTTTTTAAAAATATTTAATTTTTTCAGGTGGCTGCTTCTTCTTCACTACTGCGTGTAATGTACTGTACTTTGCTAGTTTTTTTTATTTTTACTTTATTTCTTCTCATATTCAAGATCTGAGTGCAATAATTTCGATACTTATAAATAGAAATGATGACGTATATTATTCTTTATAATAGACCCTTTTTCTGGTAAAATACTTGAGTTACATTTCACTAAAAATATAATAATGTTCGCTTCAAATAGATGTCCAACGTTAGGGAAAATTGCGCCGCTACGCAACCTGAATTAAATCGAGAATCACACAATATACTAATAAGTTAATATATTATATGAATTGGTTTATTAATACTGAGAATCATTATTATCATACTTGTTTTTATCGTATTTTTGTGTAAAAGCTATAAATTTCTAAGAGATCGAACGGAATTGGAATGTCAACTTACTAGACCTATAAACTTCACAAAGCAATTAATTAATTACCTAAAATAAAAGATGTAGCGTTGTACAATTGCCCACGTATATTCCATGGAAAACTAGTAAATGAGATTAATCTTAGGTATTGAGATTAATCCTAAGACTAAACTTAGAAGAAGTAGTAAATGATATAAGTTTATCCTAATGACACCTACGATTATACTTTCCTCCGTTTAGTGTTATTTTAGAGTTTTATTTTTGTTTCACAAAAATTGTTATTTTGGATTTCTAATGCAAATTTATAACCAAATATCTAGTTTTAACCTTGTTACATTAGTGTATTAGTTAGAAATAGATAGTTGTTTAATGTATTTATAAGAGATATAATAGATTTTTTATTAAATTTCTTAATTTGTGTGAAAAATATCAAAATAACACTTATTTTAAAATGGAAAAAATAGTATATAACAAGAGTTGGATTATAGTTTACGCAGTTTTGAAAAAAAAAAACAGTAAGAGTACTACAAAGAGTGAGGAACCAACATACATAGTGTTAATATATCAAATTAATGTCTCAACTGTAAAAACTCAAGTTCGATCTCCGAAAGAACTAGGGTTTGTGGGTTTAAAGAAAAGTCTTTTATTAGAAGAAGACGGAGCTTGAATGAATACACGGGGGTTTAAGTCGTCGGAATAAGAACGCCGACCTAAACTTTTATGGAAAGTAAATCGAAAGCTAGAACAATCAGATTGCTTAGTTTGTCCTAGGTCTCGATAGATGATTTTTGGATAGATTGAGGAGTCGAGGACTTCCTATATTTATAGCCGATCAGGTCGGTCTTCAACCTGCTTGGAATAGGAAACTCTTGTCGGCAAGGAGTTTCCTTTTTCCTCGGGTCGCTCGATAAATGGAAGATTTCCTTTTATGTTGTCGACCTGGAACTTGTTAGACGGGCCGACCAGAATTCGTATCGGGCTTGTTAGAGACGGTACGGATCTCATCTCTAACAGTAAGTCCCCCCCCCCCAGTTTGGCAAGTGAGGGTACATTACTTGGCGAACTTCATGATGTATTGCTTGGTATGCATTCTGGTCGGCTATAAAAAGAGTTAGAATAAAAATGAAATTATTACCTGGACTTTTGATCGGCGCGGTGATGAGGGCCAGATTGTGATTTTGGGCGCGAAAAGTTCCCGCCTAAAAGATGACGTAGGCTAGGCCTAGGTTTGCGCATGCAGAACTAGAGTTGACATGTGTCAAACCCTAGCAGGTGAAGGTGAAGAGGCCGATTAAAATTTAACAAGAAGAAATGTGGAGAGTCG